CTTCCACCACCATGGAGCAACGAGGTATATAGGTAATGTACACGGCAACGGTAGATATTATAGATTCCGAAAGCTAAAACTTGGGATCAAAACCTCTACTTAATACTACTCCAATACAAAATAAGAGTTCAACAAAAATGAAAATGAAATACAAGAAAGAAAAATTTATGGAATGGTTGGGAATAACAGCTCGTTTTCGCAAAACCTGGTTTTTATGCAACTATTTGGGTTATAGCAATTACGGAACTCTAAATACCATCAATGGTTAACTAACCACTAAGCTTTCAGGCACCGAGCCTTAGGATAAGTAATAGTCCATTTTACAGATGCGTGCTTGGTTGCCAAGCCTTTGAACAGGAGTGAGGTTAAGGATGACCTTGTTAGGATACAAATGTTGCTGCTTTTCAAATGTAAATCACTTTATTATCATGCTTACTAGATCCTGGTCTCTATCATAACAAGATTACCTTCAGCCTCACTCCAAATCAAAGGCTTGGCAAGTAACGGTAAACAACTGTAAAATAGCCAATTGTGTCACCATCCGTTGGACTAAAATCACATGCTCTCGCACTGCTTTACCCCACCCAAGATTATTAAGAAACAAATTTACTATCCACCACCACCACCACCACTTCCACCACCGTGATAATCGCGTTGAAAACAAAGCTCAATTTTTATGATTTTCGTTGATAACAGTTTCCTTACAGACAAGGAAAAGCCTATTGCCGACGCCGGTTTCCATTCCTGGTCTTCCTGGTCTTCCTGGTCACCGTGTCCACAGGGATGCCACACGGGAAAAAACATTGTAATACAATTAAGAAATCGAACCTGCTCAGCTTCTCCAGGATTACCACAAGGATGCCATACAAGCATGGAGACTCGCCCATGCCAAGTACAGGTTTGTCCAGGTTTGTAAAAAGGTTTTATCTACTTAAATAATAGTTAGCTATTTTAAGCTATTCTCCTAAGTTTTTTATTAAGATCTATCATCTCAATAAGAAAGGTTCAATTTAACTTAAGATAGCCTCCGGCGGAGGCTATCTTAAGTTTTAAAGATTTTCGATGCGTCGATTACTGCCATCGAAAAGTCAGAAACCCTGTTCCCGTTCCAGATAAAGTAACCTAGATAACAAGACCACCCGACTTAGAGCTAAAATGTCCCCAATCAGACTGCTAATTAAAAGCGAAGTATACCTATTCAACAAACTAAGGTTATCTTTGTAACTGATGAGTTTTTTCGATTGACGATCGCGTAACACTTCAAAGCTGGACGAGGTTTGTTTCCTTTTTCAATCTGTTTCTTAGTTCCGTAATGCTTAAACTGAGCTTGATGTCAGAGGAACTCTCCTTAATAACTGAATGAACGCATTGAAAAACTTGTAATGAAAGTCTGAGGGGTTATGGTCACAGTTTTTTTTTTGGGGGGGGGGGAGGGGGAGTTTCCTGAGAACTTGACCGAGACAATATTTCTATTTGTCCTCTGCTTTTGGAAAATACCTGAATAGAATTATTTATCCTTTTTTCCAGGAACCGGAGGATCGCATGAAAAACTGGGTACGTTTTTCTTAGCTCGATTCACTTTGGATATCCAACAAATCTGAAGCTTTGTCAAACGTATTTTAAATAAACTTAACTCTGATCTTTGATTTAAGGGAGTGGCAAAGCCAGATCAGATCACGCTGCACCGCCAAAAACCAAAGAAGATGAGAGGAAATTCGGGGAAATGTCTGGTAAAGGCGGAATGAAGAAAAAATGGAGTTCGTATGGAAACAACAAAACCTCGACTGAGATGCCTTATAATGGAGAAGCTTTCAACTGGGTTCAAAGCCATAACGAAAATAAATTTCATAGTTATACAGAGCGCAAAGGGAAAAAGGGACGCAAACATTTTGGAACTGCCACCCTTGATGGGCTTGATAGCTTAAAAGGTAAAAAACATGCAGAGACAATACTGTCCGGACTGAAAATACTCCAAAATAAATGCGGTTTATTCTTTTTACCTTACGGAAAGTTTACGATCATAAAAGGTGATGTTCCTGAGGGTGTGGCGCTTTTGATGTCTTTAAGCGATCGAGTCAGTACGAGGACCGGTGGGAGACCGAGAGGATTTCTGAGCCAAAGCAGTCACGTAGGGAGTCTTGAGACGGTGGCTAACGCAATACCCCGGCGGAGAAAGTTAGGAAGAGGTACGGGAACTAAAGATACAGACAACCGGAATTGGGAAGATCTTGACATCTCAGGAGTTTCTTTCAAAGGGGACGATCCCGAGCAACTCGATGGCTACTTAGGAAACGTGGGAAAAGTGACATATGAAAAGACTGGAAACAAAAGCGATGCGAGTAGAAGGCGTGTTGTTGAAAAGCAACCTGACTCATTGCTAAGTCATATTGCTAAACTTAAGGATATCTACACGCGATTTTACACGGATAGGGCAAATTCACAGAGGTATCAACAGTGGATGGGGCCATTAAAAGCAAAGTCTGTTGGAGCATTCAACGGCAAGCCTGTTTCAATAATTAACGGATTACGAGCGGTGAAAATTACAAGGAGGCCGTTAGCCAAAGACGTGAACAAAATCGTCAAAACCAATGGTAAGTTGATCTAGACTCAATTTTAGTCTTTACATCTCCAGACATAGTAAAGCATTCTTTACCACACTAAAATAAAAACAAATTGACAATAATTCAAATTGAAACCTTCCCAAATCTAAAGCGAAGCCATTAGCCACAGACGGTAAAAATTGTGAAAACCAGTAGAAGTTAATTACCAGGAATCAAATCAATTTTAGTCTTTACATCTCAGAAAAAGTTACAGTAAAACATTAAAAAAAAAAAAAAAAACTAACAATGATTCAAATTAAAACCTTCCCAAACCTAGACTTAATACTTGAAATAATTGTTCGGAAATAATTGAAATAATTGTGGGTCTACTTATCTAAAAAATATTACTGAAAATTACAACAAATTTTGTATTCGTCCAACTACTACCAGTGATGTCTTTACCCATCTAAATAGATTGTCAAAACCTAAAGCTACAGGACTAGATAAACTGTGTAAAAGGATCGCTTCTGCAATTGGAGCCATAAAGCGAGTCAAGCCATTTGTCCTTCAATCCACCCTACTCAATATATACAACTCACTAGTTCGATCTCACTTTGATTACTGCAGCCTAGTCTGGGGTAATTGTGGCAAAACATTACCTAACAAGCTACAAAAACTACAAAACCGTGCTGCGCGAGTAATAACTTCATCAAACTATGACGTAGATATCGATTATCTCACGTCTAAATTTTTGAAGCGAAATGAATCAAACTATTTTCTGGAGGGGGGGGGGGTAAGTTTCTAAAGAAACGGTGTTGCTGCGTCAGTGGGGGTAACGAGGTAATTTGGTAATACCAACTAAGTTGAAATTGTAAATTGGCCACCGTAACGGGTTAAAAAGCTGACGTTTCGAGCATTAGCCCTTCGCCAGAGCGAATCAAATCTTGCTCTGGTTGCTTATGAACGAGTTTTAGAGGCTAACTGACCAGCTAGGGACGCTCTGTTAAAACTAAACTAAATGCGCCATTTTATTCCTGTTGTTCAGTTTTTCCGGAGCCAGTCGCCCTTTATCCTCTCAACGCCAAATATGAGGCAAGAGACGTGATCGGTGGAAATATACCTGGAATAATTAACAATGTTGTGCCTGCAGCAGGACCTTTGAATCAGAGCGGAAATTCTCTCTCCTTTTTGGGAGCTCCGAAGAGCTACATCGAGTTCCCACACAACGGACAATTGGAAACGAATACTTCTCTTACTTTACTGGCATGGATTTTACCAAGACATCCAGGACCAATCTTTAACTACAAAACTAATGGATGGGGCGTTGCCCTCTGGATGAGCAAACCTAGCAACCTTTTTGCCCGTTTCAATTCTCGTGGACAAAAAGGAGCACATAAATTCCTTACCGTGAAAAGCTCGCACATCATACCGAACAAGTGGAATTTCGTCGGTGCAATTTACCATCAGAACACTGGACGGGCAAGCTTATGGATAGATGGAAAACTAGAGGATGCTAAACTTATTGGGAATATTACGTTGGCTACTAAATATTCTGTAAGAATGGGAGCGAGAATTGGGGATGAACGCAACTTTCGCGGTCGTATATCATGCCTGCAAGTTTATGACGTGGCATTGACTCCTCGACAAATCAACAACGCAAAATGGAAGTGTAGATCTCTTGAAAGGGTTTTAAAGGGAAAAATAAAGAAAAACCGGCCAGCTGAGACTCGCGACGAACATTGGGACTGATTTTCTCGTCCCTTTGATTAAACATATTTTGTCAGTAATGTGAATTGTCTAGAAGTTATGATGGGAATACCTTCGCGTTCTATACACATGTCTAAATAAAGATGCTGGCAAAAAAGCCACCTTCCAGCCATTTAAACCTCTTCTCTCGTTATTGTAACATTTTGCTGGGACATTTACGCCGGTACACCGATGGAGGGTGTGGTCTATTGTTTAAATAATCGCTTAATTGGTATAAAACCAAATTTACACTGCATGTTAACTTTCTGGGCGCCATACTTGAGGAAGGCCTCAGTATGTACTTAGGAAGTATTTTCTGTTCTATCGGAAATAGTAGACGTACCAAAATGGAGAGGAGTTTACTTTCCTTTATTGCTTTACTGTTACTATGATTTGAACATTTAAACTTCAGACTTACAGTAGAATACCTTTATCTGAAATACAAAATGCATAAATAGCGCTAACAATGAATTATCGGTTTATCAGAATGCTTTAATAGGCAATCCAGAATAGGAAACTTTTCGAGGGACTCTACAATTGAGGTCCTCTGTTTGGCTAGGTCAGTGAGGGAGGTCTCATGTCCGCTCAGAAGTCCTTAGTTAGTAGTACACTTCGTTTCTTCTTGTATGAATTAGAACTATCCTTGTCACACTGTCCGCCATAGCAAGCCAGCTGCACACCCTCGCAGAGAGCACTCGTATCGCAAAGTGCACAAGGTGCCCCCAGCAAGTCACATCCAGAACTTCTCTTTGCAAACGTGCGCTGCAATAAAGTTAAACAATAAATTGATTTAAAAAAACGTTTTAAAGATACCTAGGAGGCTACCACTGATCTTCCAACTTAAGAGAAATCAATGGCTTGGTCGTATGAAAAGAGATGACTTGCGGAGTCGTAAAATTTAAAAATGAAAAAAAAAAAAAATCCTATTTCAGCATTGGTCCTTCGCACTACATCAATGATTAAAAACAGTTTTGGCTCTAAAAGAAGTCGTGATTTATTTTTCATCTCCATCAAAATGATGGTTAGTTTGGTGATGTGCGCTTACGAAAATTTTGTCATCTCAATTCATTTTGAATGCGAAGTATTTGCTCCAGCTCCGAGCGGAGACAACAGTTCATTTGAAGTTTGCAATATAAGGCTGTGATAATATTTGGGAGGCAACCACATAAAGCACATCCGCGATTAAAATTTGAGAAAAGTTTAAAGCAAGAAAGAAATATCCTAATTGTTAGAATTGGCTATGTCAATATGAAAACCAACAGCAATGAAGCGCGGAAAGGGCGAAACGTGAAGAGTAAAAACCCACGTCAACGGTATTTTACAGAATGTTGAACACTCGTTTGGCGTGGGATGAAAAAAGAAACTTCTGCCCAATCAGTTATTCGAGAAATTGTTGCTTAGTGTCGGCTTGCGGCAGGTTTTACAAAAAGAAACAAAATAAAAAAAAAAATTGTTTGAATTACTTTTTTTTTTCTTTTTTTTTTTCCCCCTAGACCCAGTTGCTCTAAGAGCGGATAGCATATCCCGAAGCATAAATCGCTATCCAGTAGACAAGTATAAATAGAACATAATGCGCTTTCTTATGTAAAGGGCTTAGCGCTTTGGTGTCAAGTAGGCGCCTTGAATAGCCCTACTGCCTTTTCGGTAAATTTTACTGATTTCCAAAATAGTTCGTTTGATCTGTCAGAAGATTTGTTGGTATTCAGTCATCCATTACTGTAAAAATAGTGATACTCGTTCATCTGACACCGTCTAAAGTTCCTGACCTCACGTTTTCTGTAATGTTCTTGATTAACGAACAGCCTGTGGATGTTCTGTGTGTTAGCGCGACTCGGTTCTTCACAAATTATGTGCAAAAGTGCCTCGTCTGAATTTTTGAGTAATTATTGAATGTTTGGTATTGTGTTTTTCTTTCCATCATTTACATTCGCAATGTTAGATGTTTCATTTTAGGAAAAAAAAAGGACTGCTGCTTTTAACTAGGAAAATAAACATTTCGAACGTTCTTTGTCAAACTTGAACTTGTGGCGAATGCTTCCACAGACTGTACACAAAACAGTTATCCAAACGATTCAAGCGTGCTTACCATTTCTCTGTAATCTCTGAACAAATTCCTCGCCATCAGTTCTTCAGTTGAGATAGCCAAAAGGAGGTAGACACTCAGTATTACTTTCCTCGCCATGATTGGTGTGAAAGATGCTGTAGGAAACTGCAAACATTCACCACGAGAACAGAAAATTTAGAGCACTTGCGATCAGAAGAGCACGAAATGAGTATGAAGCACACATTGATTGGAAGTTACCAATACAGCAGGGGCTCATTTTATTGCGTTTTAACTAAGCTCCTTTGTTCTTTTAATCTTAATCTTGCTGTCAGTCAAGAGACAGTTCCGTCCTGCTTAACGCAAGAAAATTGGATGGGCACGAAATCGCAAGTTCAAGTGAGGCGAGAGGAAACATGGTCGGAAAGTGCGTCAAAAACAAAGCCAAAACAATGAGGCGAGGCCGAAAATAAACTCAAGAGTTTCTAAAAGGGAGCGATTTTTATAAAGGAATACTTATTAGGGTACAGTGCCCTATATTTTCAACGTAGCTTTGTGTTAGTTTAATAGCTTGACTTCTTTTAATAATTTAATGCAAATTTAACCAGTGGTGAGTGAGTAGCTTTCGGTAATCTTACAAAACTTACGACTTTAGGAAATAAAGAGAAAAATGGTAGAGAAACTCCATAAAAATACATGATTAAACGAAGGGGGAATAAGGAATTTCAAATACTGTCGCAGCTCTCAAATCAATTAAAAATAATACGCATTTCAATATCCCTTGTAAAATCGACTATCAGGCCGGTCAGATATAACGATGTAGTTTTGTTTTTTAAAAGGTGATTCGTTAATATAAGCCTGGGAAACTAAACATATGCCTATAATGAAGCTTTGTTAGTAAGAATAATTCAAAATTATCTCAATGACATGGCAAGAGTAAAGAGCAGGATACCAATTGAAATTTACCTTTCGGGTTTGGATTCATATCAATTAACGGCGCAAGGCGAGTGATGTTTTCAATTTAGCTAATGTAACCGACCAACTTCGATACACGAATCGAAGTTAATGTTTCTTTTAGTGAATACCTATCATTAAGTAAATTGTTTGAATTTACATTCAGATTGCAGCCTGGTTTGCCATTTCTTAGTTGAACAAAGCTGTGAATATTTAGTATCATAAACAGATCATCTACGACTGTATGTACAAAGGCAAATATTTTTGTTCAACATAGTACGTTATGACTTACTGTAACGTGCAACGTAACACGATCAAATCTTTACATTTCAGTTGACTCAAGTAGGGGGATGAAATTTCGTGCTGTGTCATTGTTATACGTTGGCTGTTTGAAGTGTGAGCTGAAGTGTTCTTACGATTTTTGACGCAGTTAAACAACATGCACATGACGAATTTATTGACTTGCACGGCAGAAATTCCCTTCCTTCCCCTCAAATTCAAAAGAACATATAGGTACATACACATCAACTAAATGTGGACGACAAGCTTTATAAAGCTCCATATCCTCATAAGAAAACCGCAAATTATTACCAAACATCTCTAAAAATAGGCGCAATCGACGATCCAAAATATCTGAGATTGTTATCCAGGGTTTGTTATTCCCTCGCCTATTATGAAAGTCATCTTTCATAATCCTTTTAGAAACTGATACATTTGAAGTTCAGCCAATACTGGTCGAGAATTCAGTCATCACTTCAAGTACTTTTAAAACCGTGAAATATTCAAAGAATCGCAAGTTAAATTCTAAAAATGCGGCACTCTTCACAGGAGAGCACGGACCTTTTGTCGGAATCCCTGAAAGGATAATTTTCAATTACGATGTTTTTCATGGCCCTGTGAAGGTCGAATGGTAACCGTGACAGTGCCCTCGATCCTTTTCGGTCATTTACAGCACGATCAACTTTGTTAGGGCTGAGATGCTTTTGTAAGCTATAAAGTGCGTGGTGACTGCCAAAGGTCGAGCCGCTGAGTTGGTTCTCAATTTCCTAAGTTAATTTTCTCATGATAAGACCGATCGACGTGAAACGTTACTCGAATAAAATCAAACATATAATTAGTTTGCATACAACTTCAGCCTTTCTCGCTGCATAAACCTTATTAATTTGTATTTTCTCGCTGTATAAACCTTATTAATTTGTGGCTCTGGAAAATCAAATGAGATCAATCCAAGACGTTGACGCTTTTAAAAAAGTCACTCAATTGTACATTTAAGCCACGTATATTATAATGATGTACTATGTACAATTTTTATTGTTGAAAATATGTAGAAATCTTACATTAGTCTTCTTATAATTAAGAATTTAGTTTTATTGTATTTAGTTAAGAATTTAGTTTTATTGTATTTAGTTAAGAATTTAGTTTTATTGTTTGCACACGACAACATCAGCTTTTGCTGAATTTTTTTATCGTGTTTAAATAAATGCTGTTGTTGCTGTTGTCGTTGTTGTTTTACTTCCTGAGCGTGAGTCGGTGACACGTAAACAATTCAACAAAATGTTATCAGGGTGGAAGAAAGTTCGTTAAGTTGTACAACAGAAATTGTAATGTAAGTAGATTTGAAAATCGTCACGTTCACGAGATGATTTCCTCTATCATGAGCTGTCAAATAGCGATTTGGGGTGCCCAGGCCTGACGCTCAGGCGTTTCCGCATCCTAGAACAGTAAATGCTCCGCATTCTAGAACAGTAAATGCAACCACCTCGATGTCACAAATACGTGTACGATTTCATGAGCTCCTAAAATGTTGTTATGGAGTCACAGTATTTTTGTGGTTCTGAGGTTGGAAATTTCACACCTAAAAATTGGTTTCTTTGTGATTTACCCCATAAAATCAAATCTTTAAAACTACAGGTGGCCAGGCGAAAGTTTATAAACTCACTACCAGTTAAAATGATCATGTAATGATGTCATCGCCGAAATTTCAATTTACGTCTTGGTCAGTCTCACAGGAAACGAGATCTGGGAAGAAACTAGAATTTACTATAAAACATCCTTGTGGGTGATTATTCTGATAAAAACTTCGTGAACGGAAAGGCTGGAAATACGTTGTTGCATGGGTGTAAGTCATCCATAATCCGCAACAATGTTTTTGTTTTCATCCAAATTAATGCAGTATTATCCACCAGGGTCCAGTTGTCCAACGGGGGTTAAGCGGTTAAGAAACCGCTATTAACCGTATCGGATTTTATC